ATCTGCTGCAAAGACTTCTTTAAAGTGTTAAAAAGCAAAGATGTCACTTTGGGGACTAAGGTATGCCATACCCAAGCCATGGTATTTTCAATCACCTCATATGCATGTGCAAGCTGGACAATGAATAAGGAAGACCAAAAAAGATGCCTTTGAATTATGGTGTTGGCGAAGAATACTGAATATACCACAGACTGCCAGAAGAATAACTAAATCGGTCTTGGAAGAAGTATAGCCAGAATGCTCCTTCGAAGCAAGGATGGTGAGACTTTGTCTCACATACTTCGGACATGTTATCAGGAAGGGCCAGTCCCTGCAGAAGGACATCATGCTTGTTAAAGCAGTTGTTGTTGTCAGGTGCTCTTGAGTCGGTTCCAACTCACAGTGACCCTACGTACTACAGAACCAAACACTGCCTGGTCCTGCACCATGCTCACAATCGTAGTTATGCTTCAGCCCGTGTTGCAGCCACTGTGTCCATCCATCTCACTGAGGGTCTTCCTCTTTTTCACTGACGCTGTACTTTACCCAAGCATGACGTCCTTCTCCAGGGATTGATCCTTCCTGACATGTCCAAAGTATGTGAGACACAGTCTCGCCAACCTTACTTCTAAGGAGCATTCTGGGTGTACTTCTTCCAACACAGATTTGTTTGTTCTTTTGGCAGTCCATGGTATATTCAATACACCAATGGTAAAGTAGATGGTCAGCGAAAAAGAGAAAGACTCTCAACAAGATGGATTGACACAGTAGCTGCAACAATGGGCTCAAGCATAATAATGACTGAGGATGGTACAGGACTGGGCAGTGTTTTTTCTGTTGTACACAGGGTTGCTATGAGTCGGAAATGACTCAACGGCACCTAACAACATCATCTCAGATCTCCTGAATCAGAAGAGTTTGAGAGCCACTGGGTAGAAGGCCTTCACACAGGCTGCAGGCATGCTGTGTAATCTATAACTACCATACTCCCAACAAGAGAAGGCAGGTACAAGAGATGGAGAGAGAGAAGGAGGGAACTGTTTGTAGTCAACAGGCCAGTAAGTAAAAGTGGCTGACTGTAGCCAACTGTGCTGACCCCTGGAGGAAGGACAAGCTATGGCACCCTCCTGCTGATAAGCTTTTTCTCTCCAAGGATAGAGCTGGGGACAAACACTCTGGCACCTGTCCCCTGAGGAGCTCCTTACTCCTTAGGCTTATCGGAGTTATTCCTTTGAGAGTTAGGCATTATCATTTGTCAATTTTTAATAAGATCTTGGTCTGGTCCATTATGGTGACTCTGAATGTATATTTCATTTTTATTTTATATCTGATTTTCTTTTAATTGTAAACTGTTTTAGCTTCGTTTTATTTATCACCTCTTCTGTTTTTTTTTTTTTTTTTGGCTTTAACAGAAAAATTTATTTTCTCACAGTCTAGTAGGCTAGAAGTCCAAATTCAGGGCATCAGCTCCAGGGGGAGGCTTCCTGTCTCTGTCAGCCTTCTCATCACTCTTCCCTTGGTCTGGGAGCAGCATCTCAGCGTGGGAACCTCAGGTCCAAAGGATGTGCTCTACTCCTGGTGCTGCTTTCTTGGTGGTATGAGGTCCCCAATTCTCTGCTTCCTTCCCTTTCATCTCACCTCTTCTTAAAAGTAAACCCAAGTCAGACAGTAGGAAGGCAAGTGACAATCAGAACAAGGGAGGCGGGAGGCCTTCTTTTCCCCATTTAGTTCTGCCCAGAACCTAAAGCTTGGAAGAGTCTCAGCTGCCTGTGCTTAGTCAAGGAGTTGGAGAATGACTGACTATTCTTTATTAAAAAAAGAAAAAGAAAAAATTATAATAAACTTGGCAACTCAAAGAAACTTAATGACAAAACTTGCTACTTAAGAGTCTAATCCTCACACTTGATTGAATTTCTGGAATAATCCTGCTATCTTGTTTCTAAATTCAGAATCCACGTAAGAACTGAACACTATATTCTGACTGAGACTGGCTAGTTGTCTTCAACAGCTCACACCATATATGAAGAAATAGGTAGAGCTTTTTATCCAATGAAAGTCTAAGGCCAGGAAAATAACACATAGTTTAATATCAGTAAGACCTGATATTAAAATGCACGAAATCCAAATGAGGAAAGCCCTAAAGGCATTTCCTTGGCCCCGATTTTCTTTCACCTTTCTGCACCTAAGACACTAGTGACTATCTTATGTACTACCTCTTAAAATTCTCTACACCCTGGTTTCAAGACACCACCCTTTGGTTTAATTAACTCTGTGAATTCTCTTTTCCTGGTTCTTTTCATCCTTCTACCCCTTAAATGTGGGTATTTGTAAGCAGCCCTGGTGGCACAGTGGTTAAGAGCTTGGCTGCTAACCAAAAGGTCAGCAGTTCGATCTACCAACCGATCCTTGGAAACCCTATGGGGCAATTCTACTCTGTCCTATAGGGTGCTTTGAGTTGGAATCGACTTGATGTCAACGAGCTTGGTCCTTTACTCATATTCTCTTCTCTTTCCATTGACAACCTTAACCAAAAAACCAAACTTGTTGCTGCTGAGTCAATTCTAACTCACAGTGATCCTACGGGACAGAGGAGAACTGCCCCATAAGGTTTCCAAAGAGTGGCTGGTGGATTTGAACCAATCTTTTGGTTAGCAGCTGCAACTCTCCATAGCTCTTAACCACTGTATCACCAGGGCTCCTTGACAACCTTAGTTGGGTTCAAATACTTTTAGTCTTTTTTCTATTTCATTTTTATTTAACAAAAAAGTATTATACTATACCTTGTTTTATGCTTGTCAATTAAGAAAAATTTCCATATTATTATTCTCCTAAAATATTTTTAGTAACTATATAGCATTCCATTGTATAGATATAATATTTTTTCAATCTAGGGGGCAATATTGGGTCAACTTATTGAAAATCACAACAACACTATTAAGCAGTAATGGTGTGATAAGTCTAATGGAAATTTTACTTAACTTCTAAATCAAGAAGCAAGTGATACTATGTAATAATTAGGATACTCCAACTTATTACCATTCTTGAGGATATCTTAGGCAGGGGTGAAAGTGCTCGTTTCTCTTTTATTTATTTCCTTTAACTTTGTGCCTCAGCTAGCGATAAACAAAACAGCCAGATGAGGTACCAAAAACAACTTAAAGGTTCAAAGTAAAATTTAACTACCTTCTAGGAGAGGCTTTCTCACTCATCACATATAAACTGAAATCTATACTTCTGTCCCATTTATAGGTAATTGTACATATGGATTTTTCTTTGAATAAGATTAACGGGAATTCAAGTAGAGCCTAAAGAATTAACAGGAGTAAACTTAACTCAGCATATCACAGTCATTATGTTATGTATTTCATGTCTGTTTAAAGAACAATCTAAACTTCCACTTACAGCAGTAGGATAGATTAGACTTTCAGAAATAACCTCTCACTACAAAGTAACTATAAATGCTGGAAAGAATAAAACAAATATCCTTTTAAATGCAAGCTAAGATCCCAAGAGATCAGAAGGCCAAAAATGAGGGAGCTAAACACCAGCATGGTGAGCATAAAGAGACCCTGGAGCTACTCTGAGGGCCTTTGATAGTACTGGAAACCTTGAAATTGTTCCTGTTAGCTATATGAGGGAGAGGAGATAAGGTCTTGGACCTGTACAAGCCAATGAGTTAGAAATGAGATCTCTGACTAAAGCTGGATCACCTGGATTGGTTATACTTTCAGTGAAAAGACAGGCTAAGAAAAAACCCCACCTGCTGGCAAAGGAAGGAACAGTAACTTGTCTGTTTCAATTTCAGCTACAGGTAGAGATAGTCTTCCTCCCCTAAAAATTTATGACAGCTTTGCCCTCAAGCAAGTCTGAGGTCCCAAGCCCTACCTGCAAGTCTAGGAAACTACAAGCCAAGACATTAATTCAAAGTAGTCCTGGAATGTTGTGCTCCAGGGTACTTGGCAAAAACAAACACTATTCTTTTGAGTAGAACAAAAAAGACACCAGGAACACAGCTCTCAACTCATAATTCAAGTTTACAAAACAGATAAATTAAACTACCAAGAGTAAGCTGAGAGAACCAACAAATATCATTTGGTCTTCAAGATTTCAGATATGGGTATTATCAAACACAGATCAAAAATAACTATATTTAAAATTTTAAAGAAATAAAAGAATTGAAAACATGTAAAAGGAAAAAAAGACAATTGGAAATGACCAGGGAGATTTGGAAAAATTTAAATATTCGATTAATTAAAAAGCCACAGAGAAAATTCATATGATCTATAGGGGATGAAAATGAGACTGTGGGCAGACGTTAACAGCGTTGATGAAAGCATGGTGGAATAATATCTTCAAAGTGTTGGCAGCACGTATGTTTACCTAGAATTGCATGACCAGTTAAAATTACACTTAAGAATAGAGTGAATAAAAACTAAATACAGATAACCAAAAACAGTTTACTATGTAAAGGATGTTCTTGAGGAATATGGAAAATAATCTCAGAAGAAAGGTCTAAGATGCAAGAAAGAAGGGTGGGCAAATAGACTGGCAAACACAGATAAATATAAACATGCACTCACTATATTTAAAAAAAGATTATAATATCCCATTTGGAAGGTTAAAATAAATTTCAACTGGATATAAGGTTTAAAAGTAAAAAAAGAAATTCATAAATGCACAGAAGGAAAATTTCGGTGATTAAAAAAAATCATCTCGGAATAGAGAAGACCTTTCCAACCATATCACAAAAGCCAGATATCACAAAGCTGCTGTTTACAAAGGTAGAGAAACTAAAAGTAATTTTTACATTCTATCACACATATCCCTATAAAATAAGACCAAGGCTCAGTCTCCTTCAGGCGTACAGCTGAGAACCCCAATGAAGTATCTAGAAGACCAAAGACTTGAATGTTTCTTTCTGGTTACTCAGTCTGATCCATTCTAAAGGGCTTTAGGCCCATGAGAAACTGGCCACATGATTAGGTTATAAAAGGATATAAAAGAATATTAAGTCAACTTACTTATCACCATCTTAAGGCATTCAGGATTGTCTTGAATAAGTGGTTCAGCTTGTACCGTTTTACTTAAGAAATTCTTTGATATAAGAGGAAACCTGACTTTAGCAAGGATATCAACCATAAACGGCTGGCGATTAGGTTCATCATATTTCAACCACCTGACTGCAGCATCATAAACCTAAGGGGCAAAAACAGCATAGTAAAATCCACGGACGGCAGCAATATCTCTAATTACCTATGTTTACTGTCTCATTGGAGGAGGAGAACCTCATTAGAGACAACCACTTATTCCCAATATTTTGTTCAAATATTTGCTTTTATCCCCAAACACCTGCCTATACTTTAGAACATTTATACATTGCTCTAGTGATTCTTGTAGGTAATTTGTTTCCCAGAACTAACTACTACTACATAATGTAATGACAGGAGGACGTTGAATTTATGACTATTACTCTTTTTTTTTTTTTTTAAACAAAATAGCTTCCTTTTTGGAAGGAGATCTGATGTACATCTGTACAGAAAAAAACCTATTGGTCAATAATAATTTCAATATATGCTCACTTGGTACCAAGAAAATAGGTTAATTTCCCAAGAGGTTTTTCACCCCAGGAGATATGAAGGTCACACATAATTTTATTTCAATCTTTTATTCTTGAATTGTGAACTGGTAGATATATCTGTGTTCCAGAAACTTTAAGATATACAAATTCTATACTTAAAAATAAAGCACAGGATATTGTCTTCCAAAATAACACCGTAGCGTTCATTTAACTGCATTGTACAAGTCCAAGTTTATTAACAGGATATGATTTACAAATCATTAAACACATTAAAAACAAATCTATTAGCTCATATACACACATTTACCACACACTCAAATTGTCTGAGCTGGTTAATTGTGGGGTGGTATTAATAAGGCTCAAGTTCTGATCTCCCTATGAGTTTATTTTTATGTGAATTGGTCTACTTTTTAAATAAACTTTTTATTTTAGAACAGTTTTAGATGTATAGAAAAGATGCAAAAATAGTACAAAGAGCTCTTACATACCCTGAATCCAACTGTTAAGATGTTACATTAATATGATATATTTATCACAACTAATGAACGACTACTGACACACTGTGACTAACTAAGGCCATATTTCTTTCAAGGAACCCTGGTGGCCCAATGGTTAAGTGCTCAGCTGCTAACAGAAAGGTTGGCAGTTCGAACCTACCCAACAGCTCTGCTGAAGGAAGACCTGGCAATCATCTCCTTTAAAGATTACAGCCTAGGAAACCCTATGGGGCAGTTCCACTCTGTCCCATAGGATCACTGTAAGTCGAAAATCGACTCAATGGCAGTAACCACCATCACCACCTTTTTTCAGATTCTTTAGTTTTTATCTAAAGAAGTTCTACCCCAGGGCCCTGTCCAGGATACCTCATTACATTTAGTTATCATGTCACCACAGGCTCCTCTAGACTGACAGTTTCTCAGACTTTCCTTGTTGTTGGTAACCTTGACAGTTTTGAGGAGTTCTGGTCAGGTATTTTGTAGTATGTCCTTTAACTTGGGTTTGATATTTTTCTCATGATTAGGCTAGAGCTAGGGTTTTTTGGGGGGAAGACTAGAACAGTGGAGTCCCATTCTCATCACATTTTATCAAGAGTACGTGCTATCTACATAATTTATCACTGATGATGTTAACCATGACCATCTGGCTGAGGCAGTGTTTTGTTAAGTTTCTTCAGTCTAAAGTTACTCTCTTCCTCCCTTTCCACACCGTGTATTAGTCAATTAATTTTGATTATGGAACTGAGTTTTTTCTTTCTGCCAGTCAGAACCCCCAGTTCCAACCTGCCAACTTTCAGATTGATACTCTGAACCATGATGAAGACTGGGGAAAAGAACATAGGTTAGTACAAACTTTTATCTTTAGAACAAAAGTAACCCAAAGCACATGATCGTCTTATAGTACCTGCAGTAGTTTCAGCGTAGCGCAAACTGTTAAGCACTGAACCAGTAGCCGAAAGGTTGGTGGTTTGAACTCACCTACAGGCACCTTGGGAGACACATCTGGTGATCTGCTTCTGAAAGGTCACAGCCTTGAAAACCTTAGGAGCAGTTCTATTCTGCACAATGGGGTTGCTATGAGTTGGAACTGACTCAAAGGCCACTAAAAATAGCAAGAAGTTTCCTATTGTTGCTATAACAAATTACCACAAACTTAGTGGCTTAAAACAACACACATTTATTATCTTACGGTTCTGCAAGTTAGGAGTCTGAAGCAGGTCTCACTGGGTTAAAATAAAGGTTCCAGTAGGGCTGTGTTCCTCTGGAGGTTCTAGGAGAGAATCCATTTCTTTGCCTTTTCCAACTTCTAGTGGCCGCCTGCATTCCTTAGCTTGTGGCCCCTTCCTCCATCTTCAAAGCCAGCAATAGCCAGTCTAGTCTTTCTCACCTTGTATCCTCTGACACTGACTCTTTTGCATCCCTCATCCATATTACATTGGGCCCAACCAGATAATCTCTCCCTCTCAAGACCCTTAACTAAATTACATCTGCAAAGTCCCTTTTGCCATGTAAGGTAACACTGACAGGTTCTAGGGATTAGAATATGGATATCTTTGGGAGAGACATTATTCTGCCTACCATGGTACCCAACAGCTTTATCACTATCAAAATGGTCTATCTCTCAAATAGTCAGTCCTTACAAGCACCCAAGGCTTACTCTTCCTATGAAACAGACTTTGGAACAGGGCTTTGAACCCGTTCTGCCCGGTTCAGTCATCATCAAGGAAATGTCACTGGAACAGATCTCAACTTTTAAAGTTAGGGTGAACTGGAAAGATACCTGGAATGGGAAAAATTATGGGTCAAAGCCCTGCCTAAAACTTAATCTCCTTCTTAGAGAACAAGTGCAGCGTACATGTTGCACAGCAACCTAATCTCTTGCCCTCGGATTTTGAGCACAGCCTGAAGCAGTGCTGCCAAGGTCAAAGATGGCGGCCTACCGTGCCACTTTGAATGTGTGTTGTTCTCTTACACTCCTGCCAATAATCCAACCTCACACATCAGGCTCCTGAAAGGGCTCTCACTACGCATCTTCTGAGTTTCCCATTCCAGGGCTTTGAGCCGTAATTTCTCCATTCTGGGTACCGTGCTGAACATCTGCAAACTGTAAAACTTTGGGTCTGTTCCCATTTCGCTTCATTGGTCATGACTGAACTGGTTCGAATTGGTTTGAAGCCCCACTATGGAATTCCCTATTTAGTGTGAAAAAACATATTCTCTCCTAATGGGATTCTTTTCCTTGTCATGTACCCAAACATGAGGTATAAGGAGTCAATAAGGACATTTTTACTAAGGAAAATGCAGGAGGGTAATGTAGTCACCTGATCCTCTGCTCTCACAGTCAGAGTATCCTGGTTGAGGAGGTGTGTTACTCGCTTAACATCAAGTTGTAGAAACTCATCAGTTTTGTAAACTTCAGTAAAATGCTGATGAATAAAGTCATCTGCAGTTGCTTTCAATTCAGGACAGTCTAGACACTCTGCTAGAACACTTATACCTAAACACAGAAAGAAAATAAAAGAACAGAAAATTGCTTTTACAAAAAATATACCTTTGAAGATAAAGTATGACTTCATGAAAATTAGACTGAATCAATTTCATAAATCTGATTATGCCTGATAAGAAAACTTTTACTATTACCTTATTTTTCTTGACCGAATGCACTGATGAAAACTTCCAGCACAAAGTTGAATAGTACATGTTTCCCTGTAAAAAATATTTGCTGTAGGTTTCTGACACTTACAAGTTAATGAGGTATTCTATTTCTAGTTTAAAAGTTTTTTTTTTTTAAACATCAGGAATAGGTACTGAAAACACAAAGGTATTTTCAGCATCTGTTACGATTATATTTATTTTTCTCCCATAACTCGTTAGCATAGTAAGTTACATTAAAAGATTTTTTAACATTCAGTCATTCTGGCATTTCTGAAATAACTCCTACCTGATTAAGAACCGTTCTTTCTAAAAATACAGTCATTGCTGGTTTTAATTTGCTCATCTTTTTTTTTTTTTTTAGTGTTTTTAAATAGCAGTGTTTTTAAGTGAAAGTAGCCTAAAGTTTTATGTGTGTTTGCATGTGTTCTTTGTCCAATATTGGCATCATGATACTACTATTCTTGTAGAATGAGCTGGAAACTTTCCTATCTTTATCTATAATTTAGAACAATTTAAATTACATAAGCATTAATCTATTCTTTGGAAGTCTGGTAGAATTAACCCATAAAACTATCAAACCTGGAGCATTCACCAGAAAAAGATCTTTACCTTTTCAATTGTTTCTGAGGTTACTAGTTTCAGGTCCTCTACTTTTAAAGACAATTTTGGTTGTCTTTTGCTTTCATACCTATAATTCTAATTCTTGATGTTTGTTCTTTGATCTTCTCTTCTTGATCTGATTTGTTAAGTTTGTGATTATTTTATACTCTTCTTTGAAACAATTAGCTTTTGTTTTTCTAGCCAAGTCTATGGTCGATTAGTTTTATTTTTCTATTTCATTAATTTATACTTTAAAGAGTATCTTTTTTTACTTTAAGTATTTAAAAAAAATTATTTTTCCTTCCTCCTTTAGCAGAATAGTTAGGTCAAAAAAGAGTAAAAATAAATGCATTTATTTTGAAATGACAAATTTTCTTCTAAGAAATGCTTTGATCATATTCTAAGAGTTTGATTTATTGTGTGCTTAATGTCCTAAGTTTCTATACATATACATACCCTGTAAGTTTATTTTCACTGCCTCTTTAAAAGTACTTTTCTAAATAACTCTTTTGTTAAATTTCTAAGTGTGTACAGAATAGGGTGGGAGAATAGTTATCCTTTTGTAGTAATTTCTGGTTTTACTGCACTGTCATCAGAACGTGGCCTCTGTCTCTTCTCTTTTAGATATTCAAGATTTTCTGCGGCTGGTGATCAGTATTTGTAAATACTCCAAAGGTGCCTAAAAACAATTAGGATTTTCTGATTACTGGGTAAAACCTTCTACATCTACCTAAACAAATTTGTGTTTTTCAAATCCTCACACCTTTCCCAAGCCTTCTGGGCAATTCTATGAGTTACTCAATACCTTTTCAATAAACTCCTCTTCTGTTTAAACCAGCAAAAGGCCATTTATTTTGCTTGTAACTAAGAAGACTGACTAGGTTCATTCCTTCCTTGAGTTCTTTATCTCTCACTTGGTGTAGTACTTCCCCCTATACTTTTCTCAGAAGGAATCTAGGTTATTATATGTTGTGTCCTTGAAATATTCCAAATAAACGATGTCTTGGGAATACAATCCTTTTTTCCTCCTCTTATCATTTGCAAACCTTGTGCTACTGTCTTCTAACTTTGTGTTGCAGACAAAAACTTATTCCCATTCTGATTCTCTTTCTTTCCTAAATAACCTGTTTTATCAGTTACCTATTGCTGCAAGACAATCCCCAAACCTGGTGGCTCAAAATAACAAAAATGTTATTATTTCTCACAATTCTATGCATCAGGTGAGTAGTTCTAGTCTGGGCTGGCTGGGGCTGGATGGTACAGAATGGCCTCATTCACATATCTGGTAATAGGCAAGCTGGTTGGTCCAGCAGGCCTCAGATAGGATAGCTCATCTCTGCCCCCCAGTGGTCTCCAGTCTTCACGAGCTCCCAGCAGCAGAGGAGGGCAAGCCACGTGTAAGCACCTTTCATGCTTCTGCTCATGTTACATTTGCTAATGCCCAGTGGGCTAAAGCAAGTCACATGGCCAAGTCCAGATTATAGGAGGAGAAAACCGACTCCCCTTCTTAACAGGAGGAGCTACCAAGTCACATTGCAAAGGGGTGTGCACATAGGGATGGTGTACATTTTTTGGTAATTTACCATACCTCTTTTCTCTGAAAGTTTATAAATTCTTTTTTTCTAATTAATTTTTTTTTATTGTAATAAAATACACACAAAATTTACTGTTAGAGACATTTAACACATTCACCATGCTGCCCCACCATCACCACTAACTAGTTCTACAACATTTTCATCATCCCAAATGTAAGTTCTCTCTTGATCGTTGGAAGTGAAAACTATCAGTAGGATATATCTAGAGAAGGGATATCGTAGTTCATTGATTAGATCTAGTACTCATTATAACTTAGTTTTTTTAAGTCCAAATAAGTTCCCTTCTATCATGTCTCTGATTACTGCTTTTCTTCCATCTGTTCCTTCTGGAACTCCTACTTTACACTAGTGCCCCTGTATCTTTCTTCCTAGTCTTTACGCTCCACTGCAACCTGTTCACTGTGGGTGTCCACTGTGGGTGAAATATTGGTGGCATAGCTTCCAGCATGATAGCAACATGCAAGCCACCACAGTATGACAAACTGACAGTGGGTGGTGGGTAGACAGACTAGGAAGAAAGGCCTGGTGATCCACTTCTAAAAATTAGCCAATGAAAACCTTATGGATCGTAACAGAACAACACTCAACTCACTTGCTTTGGAAACATCATTAGGAGGGATCAATTGCTAGAGGACATCATATATAGTGAAGCAGAGGGCCAGCGAGGGTGTGGGAAACCCTTTGTGAGATGGATTTGCACAACACCTGCAATGACTCTAACGTGCTTGCGGTTGTGAGGATGACACAGGACCAGGCAAAATTTCATTCGGTTGTACAGGAGGTTGCCATGAGTTGGAGTATACTTGACAGAAACTAACAACAACAATTTTCCTTCCATGTCTTTTATCTTTTCACTAATGGTTTCCATTTCTTTGCATTATTGTTTTGTATCATAAGGTAGTTTCCCCTGTTTGATCTTCTTTAGTAAGTTTTTTAGGAGTATCCTTTCTACTTTTCAATTAAATTGAATTTTAAAACTGGAAGATCTTAATTTTTTTTTACTCCCTTCAAATGTATCTGCCATGGATTGAATTGTGTCCCCCAAAAATATCTGTCGACTTGGCTAGGTCATGACTCTCAGTATTGTATGATTGTCTACCATTTTGTCATTTGATGTGATTTCCCTGTGTTGTATATTCTATCACGATAAAATGGATTAGTGACAGCTATATTGATGAGATATACAAGATTACATAGTGTCTTAAGCCTATCTCTTTTGAGATATATAAGAGAAGCAAGCAGAGAGACACGGGGACCTCATACCACCAAGAAAGCAGTGCTGGGAGCAGAGTGCATCCTTTGGACCTGAGGTTCCTGCACTGAGATGCTCCCAGACCAAGGGAAGACTGATGACAAGGACCTTCCTCCAGAGCTGACAGAGGAGAGAAAGCCTTCCCCTGGAGCTGACGCCCTAAATTTGGACTTGCAGTCTACAGGACTGTGAGAGAATAAATTTCTCTTTCTTACAGCCATCCACTTGTGGTATTTCTGTTATAGCAGCACTAGATGACTAAGACAGTATCCTTTCTACTTTTAATTTCCTTTCCATTTCTTACAATCAAATTTGCCTGCAAGAGCCATTCATTTTGGCTGTTTGGCTTGGTTTTCTCTCCCTGAAACTACTGGGTTCCTTTAACTTTACATGATCTTTGCCCGATTCCACAAGCTGCCCTACGTTCCTTTAGCACTTGTGCAAGTCAGACTGTTGTGATCTCTTGGACAGCAGAGAACTGACAGGTAGTGAAATCTAAGAGAGAGCTCTTCTCTAGTTGGCTTCCAGGGAGAGCCGTGCCCAGGGCTATACAGAAAGCAGGCACAAGCAGTTCCCCTGGGTACTGAATGGGTTGCCCTGGGCTCATCTGGCTGGGCCACTGTCTTCATCCAAAGCTTAGCCAGCTTTTAGGCTGCTGGGTTATTCTTCCCCTCCCAGCTTTGTAAACAATGATGACAGAAGCTATCCCTAGGTAAAACTCCTAACTGGTCTCCTCAGAAGCCTACAGCCTAAGATGTGCTTAGCACCAACTCACTCCAGGTGCTTTTTATCTCCACATCTACTCGCTACTTTAGCTGGTTTTCTTTCTAGTTGAATCAACTAAGAAGTGTAGAGAGCTAGGGAGTTAGAAAAGTATACTCAAGCCATCATCTTCCAAGATTTTACTTAAAATTAATTACCTTCTTATAATACATTTTATAAGAATATTTGTTTATAAGGGGGGAAATAAACTTAAATCTCAGGAATACAGAATTTTATTGATGAATGGAGCCCAAACTATGGCCCAGAGAGATGGGGGGACTCATCCTTGAATGTGTCTGTTGCACACGTGAGATCAGATGCTAGTCTTTTATGTACTAATATAGGTATCTTTTCAATATGTGGAGCCCTGGTGGCACAATAGTTAAGAGCTCAGTGGCTAATCAAAAGGTTGACAGTTCGAATCCACCAGCCACTCCTTGGAAATCCTATGGGGCAGTTCTACTCTCTTCTATAGCGTCACTATGAGTTGAAATTGACTGGATGGCAGTGGGTTTATTTTTTTTGTTTTGTTTTTCGATATGTACACTCGTGGCTACCTTTTAAAACATTTCATCATTATATTCATCTACATAGCTGTTCTCCTTCTTGCTTCCATCCAGTCCAATTCCTTTTCTGGATACCAGGCCAAGTCTCATTCTTATCCCCTCTGCCTGGCTTTGCCAACACCACCAGTTGTCATCAAGACGATTCTGACTCATGGTGACCCCATGGTAACCCCATGTGACTCATGCACTCCATAGGGTTTCAATGGCTGATTTTTTGGAAGTAGATTACCAGGACTTTCTTCCCAGGTGCTTCTGGGTAGACTATACTATTTGAATTTCAGTTCCGGCTCCTTCACATACTAGCTATGTGATCTCAGGCAAGTTACATAACCTCAACTTCCTTATCTGAGAAGTGGAGATGATGTGTCTGTGAGGATTAAATGAGACAATCCAAGTAAAATATCTAGCACAGATTTTTCTATATCATAAGTGCTTAAATAAAAGTAAACACTCATGTTTAGGTTATCATATACCACACCACCTCCAAATGCAATCCCTACTCCTTATCCCAGATACATGAAAACCCATTATTAAAGTCATTTTATATTCTGGAAAATGTTGATACAATACTCAATGGGCCTGTTGCTGCCCAGGTTAATATGTACTTCCCCAAGTTCCTCTTATAATTCATTACTAGAAAATGTCCTAGTGGGCAATGTCTTTAAGGTTAAAATGAGGATCTTATAACTATTTTTTTTTCTTTATTAAAACACATATGTGATTCCTTACCAAGACAATTTGAAGCATCCACTTGTTCTTTCAAAAAATCAACACACATTTTCTTCACGGGTTCAATTTGGTACTGGTTTGCTGCATCTAACAAAGATTGCACATTGTTGCTATTCACAGAAATCCTGCAAATTAAAGTGAATATTAATTTCCCACAAATTTTTATGGCTTAAATAATATTGCCGTAGAATATATTCTACTAGCACCTGAAATTAAACAAAAAATTAAAGTTTTCCAATCTTTGATGGTTGCTAGGGAAGGGAGGGGTGGAGGGGGGAAAAAACACCAAAAATATTAAAGTTTTCATTCCTATAATTAGTATGACATAGAATCCTCAAATCCCTCTGTTCTTGTAGTTCTTCATTTTGAAGAATTTGGAGCATGTCAGTTACAACAATGCTTTGCCATGACAGATGCCAATCTTGTTTCTCTAAAACAGAAATGATCCTTCTTAACTCACCTAGCAGTATAAGCAAACTCCACAAGTTGTTCAATAATGTCAGGTTCAGCATCTTTGAGTTCCACTTCAAAGGACTTTGATTCAAGCATGTTAGCTAAAATGAAAAGAAACAGAAAGGGCATCAGTTACTACCACTAGTTTAACTGAGGAACCAGAACATCCCAGGCCATGTTAAATATGAAGAATAACAGGACAAATTTCTCTGGAAGAAAATAACCTAGAAAGCCAAACATTCCCATAGTAAATGCAAATTCATTCTCTACACTTGAGATGTGTCTTAAATGAAAATAATCTAACAAATTAGTGTGTTGCTGTTGTGTGCTGTTGAGTCTATTTTTGACTCATAGCGACCCCATGTGATAGAGTAAAACTGCCCCACAGGGTTTTCTAGGCTGTAATCTTTATGGAACCAGACTGTTAGTTCTCTCTCCTGTGGAGTCAGCAGGTGGGTTCGAACCACTAACCTTTCAGTTAGCAGGCAAGTGCTTAACCACTGCGCCACCAGGGCTTCTTCTTAAAAAAAAGCCCAGGTCAACAGAGAGTTATAAAACTAGATTTAGTTTTTCCCCACCTCCTAAAATAATTTCATAGAACTCTTTTAAACTGCTACTAGCAAAGTTCTTCTGATATAGCTTGAACAAATCTACAAGAACAATGACAATTATATGTAAGTCATCTATAGACTGCAAAGCTCTCACATCTTCTAAAAACCTTGGCAGGTAGCCAGTGTACTAAAAAGAAAACTTGAGGCAGATATATTATATAATCTGATCAAACTCATAAACAGTACTAAGTAGGGGAACCAGAACTTGGGTCCAGTTCTCAACTCCACATCTAGGGTTCCTCCTAACTATGGTAAAACCTAAAGGTGGAACCTGTATAAGGCAGAAACCTGTCAGAGAAGGAAAACTCAAATATTATCTTCCACTAAAACAAGAGATAGAAAAGTGGTAAGACTGCACCCTGTCAAAGGCAGAAAACTTTCAAGACCCAGAAAAACAAGGCAGTCCCATCGAATTCTGGTTCTCACAGGCTTCACTGTATAAGCTGTATCTCATTTCTTTCTTTCTTTTTTTAAAGTTTAACTTGCTAAATAAAATGTCACAAGATTATCTGCTCTTTTGCTTTCCACCTGAGGTTAAGAAGAAAACCTCAGGCATTCAAGCAGAAGCCATTATTTTCATCAATAAGCTATCTGGCCCTTAGGTCTAATTAAAGGACATTTTTCTTTTGATCAATCATCATGATGATCACTTCTCAATCTCTTTACTGTTCTATGGCCTTAAGTTAAGTACTTTAGAAACTAGGAAAATGGCATATTTTCCTATAGACCCCACCTCATTCTGAAAGAAAAAAATGGTATGTTTTATCTAAAGATACTTACTTGTGAACATTAAGTTAAAAAAATGACTGGCTGCAGCAAGGACAACACGATGAGCAGGTATCTTTCTTTCCTGGACCATGAGAATCACATCACACAAAGTTTTCTAATCAAAAGAGAAATACATAAAATTAAAAGGGGCTCACTAGGCCTAGCTTAGTAATGCATATAAAACAGGGGGTCAGCGAATGCTTTACCTCTAATTTCTATTTAAATCCAGTCCTTTTTCCAGCACAGAATTTGTTTACAATGTAAGACATATGTAAGAAGGACTTACAGAGTTGCTATCATGTAGTATCAAAAATTAGCACTGAGTTCATATAGTTGGGAGAAAAAAGGAAAGAAAAGTTCTTTAGAATCAGAAAGGAGGAAGTCTACTAATTCTTTAGGGAAGCCAAAGATTTTTTTTTGTGTGTGACACAAATTCTAAAATAATTCCATGGTGAGCTTTTATGAGGGATATTATATGACATAATGACAATGTCCTTGAGTTTTTCAAACTCAACAATCTGCTTTTGCATGATTTTAAAAAATATCTATCTTTGATAAAATCCTGAGCATACTTTGTATTTCCCAAGCAAGTAGTCTTCCACACATCTAACCTGACAGAGAAACAACTCAGAATACATAGTAGATGAACCAAATGTTCATTGGGCGATCTTTTCCTACGTAACGCTTCTCTCAAATGCACTTCTGACAGGAGCTAGATGACAGCCAGTTTTAAATTTCTGACCAAGGCCAAAATGGCTGCTGGAAGAAGGCAGTTCTAGACTAAATACTTAATTACAATGTTGGAAAAATGGAACACTAGAGGAAAAAAGTTTAAGGCTTACTGGAACCCTTAAAGATGAATTTTAAGGAAAAGTAAAAGTCCTTTTTGACAAATAAAATTCCAATTTCTTAGTGAAGTTAAAGAAATAATGTACAGGTTAGGCTCAAAGAAAATTGGTTGTCTACAATGTATCAAGGACTATGCTAGGCACTGGGAATACAAGGCAAGTAATATATTCAGAGTAAAAAAAATCTTTTAACACTCACATCAAAAATGGTTTAGTACATCAGAGTATAAGGCATTTTGCACATTTTAAGTATTTTACTGAAACTATTAATCTAGTTTCTGACAGATACATCACTGCTATTTCCTACTTTATTACTTCATGAATAAAAATCTAAGACGACAATGCTTAGAATGAGAAGGAAGAATGGGCCCCAAATAGCAGGTTAAGAGATGAATGAAAGTTCATTTTTATAGATTCGAGATTACAGCCTAGGAAATCCTGTGGAGCAGTTCTACCCTGTCCTGTAGGGTTGCTATGAGTTGGAATTGACTCAACAACACATGACAACAACAACAACATATATGAGTAGCAGGCCATAAAGAAATATAAACAAGGAAAAAAAAATCCAAGTCATAGCAGTAATAATTAAATATCTAGAAATAAACTTAAGAAATATGAGGGATCTACATTAAGTGAGAACTTGATACATGATAAAGATACCACTTCAAAAACGTGGTGAGAGATTGGGTAATAGAAAAGGTGGTATTGGGATAACTAGTTAACCATGTGGAGGAAATATTAGATTTCTTGCTCATAATGTACTCTCTCTTCTCCTCTGGGAAGATAAGTTTTAGTCCTTTTCTCTATCCCTCACCTGTACAATGACTACAGGATGGGCAAGATTGCGGTAGAAGTCACTAATAGCACATGGCCAGGCCTCCTAGCTCATTCTTCTTCCATAAGCTTGCCCTCAAAGTGGGTCATAAGCTCACTGAGGCCGGCTTTGTCCCTGTGGCAGGGGGAGGCCTATTCCTGTTCTTAAGCAGCTCTGCCTCAGACTGGGTGAGTTCAGTTCAGGGGGAGAAGAATAGGAAGTCCAATTTTATGCTTAGGTCAAAGCCATGTTCCCCAATCTGTCTTCGCCTTTAACATATCTGTCACCTGTGTCTATTTCTCAACTATTCAGAAGTAGTAGTGGAGGAAGGTTCTTCAAAACCATATGCACAGATACTCAATGCATCACAAAGCGAGACAGAAACTTCAGCAGCAGCTTTAGTACTTGTAATCCTTGGGGGCTTTTACAGGAAGAGTTCTTTGGTCTAGGAAAGACTGACCTCAAAATAGGCAGGAATTCAGGTATCTGTTGGTGGAATGACTTTTTGCTCTCTGTATCATGTTAGTCAGGCAGGACTGTAGGCTGGGATTTGAAATTGCAAAAGGAAGCTAGGTTCAATGCAGGCTCCAAAGCATTGAGGATGAGGTTTCTAGCTTTTAACAATATGTGCCGGCATTAGTAGAAGGGACTGAAATCAGCTACCCCAAATTCTGTTCTCCATTGTGTTCCAAGGAGGGAACTGAGGAATTACTAACCTTTGGATTTATATGGCTTGTCAACAAGGTTCTGCAGTCAGTCCCTCTCGGTGTGATTTCAAGATGGCTGTGGATATAAATCCTTCAGCAGACTGCAGACTGATAATTGAGTGGTGTGATGGTTAAGGTTGTATGTCAGCTTGGCTGGGCCATGATTCTCAGTGGTTTGGCAATTATGTGATGATGTAGTTTTGACATTTATGTAATGATGTAGTTTGGCCATTGTGTAATGATGTAGTTATCCTCCATTTTGTAATATAATGTAATCAACTTCATGATATGATCTGATGTGATCAGCCAATCAGTTTTAAGGGGAGTTTTTTTGGGGGTGTGGCCTGCATCTAATATATATGGATGCTCTGGCAAAGCTCGCTGGCTTTTCCTCGCTCTGGACCCTGCATCCAGCTTGTCATCACCTGACTTCTGGCTCTTGGGACTTGAGCCAGCAGTCTGCCGTCTTACCTGCTGATCTTGGATTCATCAGCCTCTGCAGCTACATGAGTCAGAAGAAGCCTTCAGCCTGACGCCTGACCCACAGACTTGGGACTTGCCAGCCTCTACAACTGTATGAGCCATTTCCTTGAGATAAATCTCTCTCTCTCTCTCCCCCTTTCTCTCTATATGTAGTGTATATTTTATATATATACGTATACACACACACACACACACACACACACATATGCTTCGCTGCTTTTGCTTCTCTAGAGAACACAACCTAAGACAGGTGGTGAATGTAAATCACTGAAAAGATAAAATGGAGCCCTTATTACATAGGGGGTAAATCATCTTCTTGGATTGAGATAGTAGAAAAGTCTCAATAAAGCTATATAAACCCAAAGGCCAAGAGAAAAATTAAAAAAGCCTCTCTAGGAATCATGTTTGTTCAGAAAAGCATGAAAAACAGGACTGGACTTAAACACACGTATAACCAGAATAAGGCAAGTGAGAAACTGAAAGAAAAACAAAGGAAGGCACCCAGATTAAGCTGGAGGAAAAGGAGGGTTTCTTTTGTTAAAGGGAAACAAACATATGATAAGCTAGGCCAAAGAGCTTTGAAAGAAAAAGGAGATACAGTGTGGTATAGTTGCTCTTTAAAAGATGGGACTAGGCAAAAAAGTTTTCCTTTTTCTTTTGGTATTTTTTGTTGTTACTCTTTCAAGGAAGGCATTATGGACCAGAGAGATACAATCAAGGAAAAGAAGTAGAAATTTAAGGGTGTCAACTAAAACAGTTCTCTCAGAAAGAGCCTGGATTGAGGTCAATTTTTTAAGATTCCCTCCTAAAGCTCAAGAAATCAAAAAAATAATTAAAGGGCCACCCTTAACAACTGGGACAGCTACAGTAAGTGATTACAGTAAATTCAGATAGATTTGAAAAGTGAAGAGAAGACGACCAGCAATAGAGTATTTCATGCATTATTAAGTAATTTTCAAGGTTATGTAGGTGGGAAGGGAGTCCCTGGGTGGCACAAATCGTTAAGTGCTGGACTACTAACTGAAAGGTTGGTGGTTCAAACCCACTCAAAGCCAGGGATACCTTGGAAGTCAGGTCTGGTGATGTGCTTCTGAAAGATCACAGGCTTGAAAACCCTATGGAGCAGTTCTACTCTGCACACATGGGGTTGTCATGAGCCAGAACTGACTCAATGGCAACTAATAACAACATAGGTGGGAAGACAGGAATGGCACGTGCGACATAGTGGTTAAAAGCTTGGCTGCTGACTGAAAGGTCGGTGGTTTGAACCCACCAGGTGCTCCACGGGAGAACGATGTGGCAGTTTGCTCCCGTAAAGATTTACAGCCTTGGAAACCCTACAAGGCAGTTCTCCTCTGTCCTATAGCATTGCTAGGAGTTGGAACTGACTCGATAGCAATGGGTTTTGGTGTAGTGGAACATATCTGGGAAGCTTGTGGAAATGAAGACGCTAAGGAAGGGCATCAGGTCACATAAAAGGGAAGCCAAAACAACCCAAATATAATCCTGGCCTAAGTTAGGTAATCCCCCATAACTGGAATTACCCTCCTGAAGGTGGTGGAGGCTGGCAGTAACTGAATCAATCCTGAATACATGGACCCTGCATTTTCTGTGATACGGGAAATTGTGTAAGAAAGGCACAGAGAAAGGCATATGCTAGTAACACAAACATTTGGGTCCAAAATCAAAAGGAAAGGAAAAGGAAGAAAAGCACTCTGATCGAAACTATTAGCTCCACATGAGGTAGAGAGGAAAGGACAGTTGTTAAGCAGGTTAACAACTCAGCTGGGGCTGCCTGAAAGGAACAGATGTACAACAGAGAAAATGAGACACTAGAGACATAGCCCATTTCAGCACAAATAGGTGACAGAAAGGAATACATCTGCTGCCACTGAGTTTCCAAGGCCTGGAATTCAAATACTGAGGAAAGGCAAGGCTTCGAGAAGCATGCTGTAAAGGCCATCTTGCGGGCCTTAGAGAACTCTGTTAAAGGTCTCCAGCTGACACAGATGTAGGGGAAAAGAGGGAAGACTTGCCCAAGCAACAAGAGTCATAGATATAAGGAATTCTACAGCAGGATAGGATCATTCTGGGGAGACAAAGGTGCAGAACAATCAGGAGGATCAGAACCATAGTACATCACTCTTCTCCCAAAGGGGAGGAAAGACTTTGTTACAGAACTCTGCCATTTCAGCACTGGACTGCCAGGAACACAAGATTCAAGGGAAAAATGAAAATTAAGTTTTAAATGTGCAGGATGGAC